TATAACCCTCGAATTTAAAATTCATGTAATTAGGGTTATTATATTCGCCACACCTTTTAAAAAGATTTTGTTCTCAAAATCGGATCATACCTGATATCAAAGTCGGGATAACGCCGGAGAATATCCTCCTCCCGCTCCCATGTGGCATCCTCAGGTGTCAATCCCTCCCATTGAATCTTGATCATGAGAATAACTCTATTTCGAAGCCGTTTCTCATATCGAGCAAGAACCTTAGAAGGTCCAACAACGAACTTCAAATCCTTCTTAACCTCTATGTCATCATACTGTACTTTGTGTGAATCATCAGATATATATCTACGGAGATGACTCACATGGAAGTCGTCATGTAAATTCGCCAAGTTGGGAGGTAGGACAAGTTGATACGCCACCGGTCCGACCCTTTTTATTATCTGGTAGGGCCCAATGAACCGTGGACTCAACTTCCTCACCCCCAAGGCACGCCCAACACCTATAGTGGGTGATAATTGGATGAATACATGATCCCCTTCAGAGAACTCGAGGGTTCTATGCTTAGCATCATAGTAACTCTTCTGACGGCTCTGGGCTTTCTTCAACCTATCTCTGATCATCTCAATCTGCTCTGTAGTCTCTTGGACCAAGTCTGGCCCCAATAACTGTCTTTCTCCAATATCCGTCCAACAAGTAGGTGTTCTACACCTACGGCCGTACAAGACCTCATAAGGAGCCATGCCCAAACTGGCATGATAACTTTTATTGTAGGAGAACTCAACCAGTGGCAGGTACTTGTCCCAAGCATTACCCTGCTCTAACACACATGCTCTCAACATGTCCTCTAGTTTCTGAATGGTCCTCTCTGTCTGACCATCTGTCTGCGGGTGATATGAAGTACTCAATCTCAATTGAGTGCCAAAGGCCTCATGCAACGCTTTCTAGAAGCGTGAAGTAAACTTCGGATCTCGATCACTAACTATGCTTTCGGGAATGCCATGAAGCTTCACAATCTCTCTGACATATAATTTGGCTAGCTGCTCTATGGAGAAAGTCGTCTTGACTGGAATGAAATAGGCAAATTTAGTCAACCTATCAATCACAACCCATATGGAATCAAATCCAGCCTGGCTTCTCGGTAATCCAACAACAAAGTCCATGGATATACTCGTCCACTTCCACTCCCGAATATCTAATGACTGTAACTAACCAGAAGGCTTCTGATGCTTAATTTTTACCTTATGAAAAATAAGGCACTTATTCACAAACTGGGCTATGTCTTTCTTCATCCCAGACCACCAAAAATTTTGTTTCAAATCTTGGTACATCTTAGTTGCACCCGGGTGAATGGTGTACTGATAAACCCTTGGTTTACCATGTTTTTAGGCTTAATTATGATTGATATATGTTATGAATTGCATGGAAATTAGGGTTTTATTCTGTAAAGTTACAGTAATTGAATATATTGCTAACATGTTGTCGTAATACTGATTTACAAGGGTTTTTGACACATATTATGGCATTTTGGAACAAAAGGAAGACATCAAGTTGAGTTGAAGCCACAAGAAAGCAAGATTTCAAGTGTGTACCAGCTGAAGGAGGACGTTTTGGCGTCCATGAAGCACGTTTAAACGTACAAAAGGAAGAAAAACACCATTGCCCCTGGAGGAGAACGTTTTGGTGCAAAACAGCACGCCAAAACGCCCATAAAACAATCAAAACCATTCGAAGAGCACGTTTTGGCGTGATAATGGACGCCAAAATGTGCTGAGGCAGAGAGCAATACACTAGGAGGACGTTTTGGCGTGATCTTGAGCGCCAAAACGTCCATACACGGTCAAGCCAACTCCAGGAAAGATTTAATCAAGATATGCAACAGAGTCCATGAAGATACAAAAAGGAAACACATCAACCTTGATTGAGTTAAAGATATAAACAAGATTTAAAGCCCAAAATTTTCAACCAATCTCTAAGATATCAAATGCAAAAAGGAAACAAAGATGAAATCCACCACAAATCTGATATGGATTCATTGGAGATTTAATGAAGAATACAAACCCAAAAAGCTGTAAATAAGGAGCTTGGGGTCAGACTAAAACACCAATTCAGAAACCAATTGACAATTCCAGAGCGTTACACCAAGACTGAAGGAGGAATCCTGTTGCGGAGCGCTGGAACACTGAGGAACCAAGTCAACATCACACCAACGGAGGCTTAGGGTTCTTTATTATTTCTTTTCAATTCAGTATGCTAGAGTAGTTTTTTATGTAGTTAAGGGTAGATGGAACCCAATTGAATCTTTATGTTTATGAATTAAATTGTCTCCGAATCCTGTTCTTTTTATAATCGAATAAATTATCTGTTTTTAATGCTTTCTATGAGTTTGTTCCTTATAGAATGATTTTGGGGAGTTGTATGACAATAGAGATGTTGGTGCATGAACCTTGACTTGATAATTTATCATAATCCTTGTGATCTAGGAATATGAATAGGAATAGACATAGGGTAATTATGCAATCCGGTAATTCTTGATCTTAATGCATGTTTTCTTGGGGAATAATCGGGGAACTAGAGTTCTTTCAAGATTACATAGATTTATGGTAACAAGGAATTGAGCCGTAATTAACTCAGATAGAATTGATTGGCAATATATTAAGAAACAGATTCTTGGTCATTTAATTCATAACATATTGAGGATATTGGGGGAAGTCGAAACCTTAACTACGCTTGTTTAAATTTCAATCAATCATCATCATCATTCATTCTTTTAATTCTGAATTTTCATATTGCATGCCTTTACTTGTTTTTAATTTTAATTTCTTTGAACAACAACTCTCTTCATCTAAATTCTCTCAAACCAAACCTTTGATTGTCCAACTAAAACACAATTAGCGAACTAGTGCTTGAAAATTCTGATCCTCGTGGGAACGATCTCGTACTCCGGTACACTTTTATTACTTACGACTGGTCCACTTGTCGAGTCGCTATCAAGTTTTTGGCGCCGTTGCCGGGGATCGAATTCTTCAACATTAGAAGTAACTAATTAACTTTTAGATTGGACGTTTTAATTTTCTGCACTTTATACATTCTTCAAAAATATTTTTCTGCATTAAAATTCTGCATCAATTTTCTGCATATTTATTTTTCTGCATTCTTTGTTTGTTTATTTTTTATTTTTTTTTCTGTTTTTCTGTGTTGATTTTTTTTTTTACACATCTTTTCAATCTTAGTTTATGCGAGGTACTCTTAACCCGCGAACCTTGCAGTTTGATCTTGAGATAGAAAAGACAGAAAGGAAACTTAGGAAAGACGCAAAAGCAAAGAAAGCAAAAGAAACAAAAGCATCAACCTTGACGGAACTAATGGCAGAAAACAATCAAATCGTTCGAAGGACGTTGGGGGATTACATGACCCCAGCTCGAGTTCCATAGACGGCAAGCATTGTTAGACCAAACATAGAGGCTAACAACTTTGAACTGAAGCCGGCATTGCTGCAACTGATTCAAAAAGATCAGTTCGCTGGAGGAAGCACGGAGAACCCCTATAGTCATCTTGATAACTTCTTACTTTATTGTGATACATTAAAAGTAAATGGAGTTCCTCGTGATGCTATCTTGCTCAGGCTATTTCCATGCTCATTGAAGGATGAAGCAAGAGATTGGCTGCAGTCTCTACCTGAAGGAAGCATAACCAATTGGGATGACTTAGCAAGAAAATTCTTGGCTAGATTTTTCTCAGCTTCAAAAATGGCAAGACTCAAGGCAGAGATCACAACTTTTGAACAAAAAGAAAGCGAATCTTTGTACGAAGCTTGGACACGATTCAAAGGATTACTCCGGAAGTGTCCTCAACACGGAATTGAAGCATGGGAAAAGGCAAGAATCTTTTTCCAAGGGATGACAACCAACACAAGAACATTGGTAAATGCCGCTTCAGGAGGCTCATTAAAAACAAAAACTCCTGAGGAAACACTTGAACTGTTGGAATCATTAGCATCTCAAGAATTTGACAATGCTCCAGTCCCAGCTTCACCAAGAAGATCAGGAATCATGAAGCTTGAAGGCTATGATGCACTCTTAGCCCAGAATGAACAAATGCTACAAATGCACAAGAAACAACAAGAACAATTAGATGCCCTTAATAAGAAATTTAATATTTCTCAAGTTTCTTCTGTTTCTAATACTAACATTAAATGTGATATTTGTCAGGAGGCTCATGCAACTGAGGATTGTGAATACATCAGAAACACGGAGAAGCAACTAGCGGAGGTCAATGCACTCTGGTATGATCAAAAGAACTCGAACAATCCAGGAAGGAATCAATATAGTAATCAAGGGTGGAAGAATAATAATCAACACCCTGGGTTGATTTACAAGTCAAACTACCAGCTGAATCCTCATATGCCATTGTAATAACAACCTCAAGGCACCACATCAGAATGGGAGAAGGCTTTTGCACAGCTATCCAAAACAACATCCGACTACATTCAAAATGCAGATGCCTTCAGAGATGAAACAAGAGCTTCTTTCCAGAATCAAGAAGCTTCAATCCGGAACTTGGAGACTCAAATTGGTTAGCTGTCAAGGCAGTTCACTGAAAGAACCCAGGGCACCTTTCCAAGCAACACCGACACGAACCTAAAGGCACAATGTAATGCAATTGTCACAAGAAGTGGGATCGTGATTCAGCCTGTGGAAAAGCCACCAGTTGAAAAGAAGAAAGAAGCCGAACCTGAAGCCGAACTTGAAGCTGAACCTGAAGCCGAACTTGAAGCTGAACCTGAAATTTAAAAAGAGAAAGAAGAAGATGCAGTAGAAGCAGAGAAGAGCATTCCAGAGAGGAAGCTGTTCAAATGGGAGAAAAAGAAAGCCTTGGACAGACAACCAAAAACAGCAGATCCGTCTCTGTATGCAAAAGTTCCATACCCTCAGCGGTTGAAACAAGATGTCCAGAAACAGCAATACACCAAATTTCTGGACATCTTCAAGAAGCTGTAAGTCAACATACCTTTCGTAGAAGCCCTGGAAAGCATGCCAAACTGTGCGAAGTTCATGAAAGACCTTCTATCAAAGAAACGCAAGTTGAAGGAATGCGAAACAATGGCCTTGACAGAGGAGTGCAGTGCAATCATCCAGAAGAAACTTCCTCCCAAGCTGAAGGATCCAGGCAGCTTCAGTATTCCTATTGAAATAGGAAACATTGAAGTTGGAAAAGCATTATGTGATCTGGGAGCAAGTATCAACCTGATGCCACTATCCATGTGCAGAGCTCTTGGAATCAAGGAGCTCAAGCCGACTACAGTTTCTCTCCAGTTAGCTGACAGATCGATCAGACGACTAGATGGGGTAATTGAAGATGTTTTAGTTAAAATTGACAAATTTATCTTCCCTGCAGATTTTGTAGTTCTGAATATGGAAGAAGACACTGAAATTCCCCTATTACTTGGAAGGCCATTCTTAGCCACCGCAAGGGCAATGATCGATGTGGAGCAAGGAAAACTGATGCTGAGGGTGAACGAATAAACAGTCACCATT